AGTGTATTACAATAAAATATTTGGACTTCTAAAACACACAAAGTATATTTTTTTACTCAATTGTTGATGTTGTATGAATAAGGATGCAAGTCCTTATAAAGGCGTAACAGCTTCTTTATGGGCTTGGGCTGAAAAAAATATTGCAAAATTGAATCCCTTGAATATCTCCATGAAAGTAGGCCAAGATATAATCCATAAAGATAAGACAAATAGAAAAATATTCCTCTATATTTTTCGCAAGCTATAAACCATAAAACCTGAATAAGCCACGCTTAAAAACAGGAAACAGAAAATCTGAAAACACGTTCAGATCAATAGCCAAATGCCAAGACATCTGCTTTGACATCATTCAAAATTAGTTGAGATGTTTTACTTCAAACATCAAGACATTAAGCAAAACATTACCAAAGCAGTGTTTTACCAAAATTGCTGCCAACAAACACTAACAGGGAAGATACAAGGGGCATCATCTAGTACCCCTTATAATGCAAAGAGACAGGTTCCTAACTTCGCAAAAAACAAGGAAGGAGAAATTAATGATGTAGCATCGCATCCAAGAACACAAGATCCATTGGTGATTCCACGAGAACAACAACAAAACAGGTTTAAAAGGCATCCGAGAATATTTGATCCTCTCCCCATGCCGCACAGTCAATTATTATAATACTTAGTCAAGGCATATTTGGTAGAGCTAAAGCCTTTAGCTTCTCCAATTGGAGCACTCTCGCCGAAGTAAGATGCAAATGCTAGGTGCGAGTATCATGCCAATTCTCTGTGGCATACTATAGCAAATTGTTGGGCCTTTAAACACAAGGTTCAAGATTTGTTGGACTCTAAGGATATCACTTTTGACAAACCAAACATCAATCCAAATCCCATCCCTTTGCATAATGGACCAACCGTAAATGCAATTGAAGTGGTCACTGACTTTGGGGAAGCTAGACAAGTTAAGGCCCCAATAAATCTTTTGAAAGAATATTTGTTGGAGTGTGAGTTCCTCTTGGAACATAATGAATTTTTTGAGAAGACATTACAAAAATTGGTGGATCAGGGGATAGTCCAATTCGATAAATACCCTAAAGAAGAATATGTAGCTGTGATTGATGGAAATACAAAGAAGACATTGGTAATCCCATGCCAAAGGCCGAACCTTAATAAGAAGGCTCTTGTGATTCCATGGGGAGAGCCAATAAAAGCACCAGTGATGATACCAATACATACTCTGAGGATACCAGTGGTATCGAAGACAACGATGATGATTAGGGGGCCATCTCCTACCCCTTATGAAAGTAACAAAGAAGTACCTTGGAGTTACGATTCTATTGTACACGTCAATAGTTTAAAGCAGGAATGTGAACCATCGACAAGTCAAGGTCCGACGATCATAAATATAGCTGGAACATGGGGCATGACCCGCAGTGGTTGAATCTATGGTCCCGAACAACGAAAGAGGGATGAAACTATGGTTAAGGATAAATGAAAAGATATGGTGGATACAATTCGAGAACAAGAATCTCCGAGCAAGAATTTTACCGACCAAGAGGCGGAAGAGTTCCTGAAAATAATCAAGAGAAATGATTATTATTTAGGTAGGCTCCCTATAATAGGTCATTCTAAATATTTTCTAATCAATCCCTTCACGTGTAATCTTTAGGGTTTTTAGACAGATCCTAGAGTTATAGATATAAGTTCCTTAGTTTTAAGGATTGGCATTAATTTTTGTAAAACAAATATAGCAGCAATATGTTGGATAAGATGTGTTATTTTGCTAACAGGAACATGTTGAGAAAGAAGTCATATCTTATGTTGGGACATGTTAAGTTAAAGTGTTTCAACATCTAGAACAACATGTCAGATAAGATGTCCTATGAAGAAGCATAGGACATCACGCTTGAGTTGAACAAGATCTGTTTATTCTGTTAAGTCACGGAGACAGAATATACCTTGAGGATATTACATTATCCTATGTGGCACTGATTTGTAGGTCAAGAAGAATCAAAGAGAATATTTAAGAATATTGAATTTCTAAATATGGAGATAATTTAGGAAGATATGATTGAAGACCTATTTTGTAGCAGAATTTTCTACTATTTGTAACAGCCAAAGAGCTTTCATTTGAAGGCCCAAACCTAGTTGGGTATATGTTATAAATAGAAGCATTGTAACCTAGGATTGGTACCAACTGTGAATTAGAAAATATGTAATCATTTGGGCTGAGTCTCTACCACTCTCTAGGAGAGTTGGTTGTGTATTCCACCTGGTTGTGAGTTGGACTGATGTTACAGAGTTGTTATCTCTATTATTATTCTCACTTATAAGTCTTTAGGTAATGAGTTGGGTATTGTTCTTTATCAAAGCTGTGAAGCAAGATCAAGTATGTTGTTCTTAATCAAGGAGTGTCTTGATTAAGGTGTTTCTCTATTTTTTTGAAGTGTGATCTTCATTTAGGTGAAAGGTCGTCGATACAATAACTAGGACTGAGACTGTTAGACATTATTGTAGTGATTGGAGGTGAGATGGGATTTCTCATATCTAGGGAGAACCTAGGTAGAAGTTGCACAAGATAGTGATTAAGTGATAAGTTGTAAACTGGGGAGTTTAGCTTTGAATTGATATTGTCTAGTGGATTTCCTTCCTGGCTTGGTAGCCCCTAGAGTAGGTGTTGGTTTGCACCGATCTAGGTTAACAATTATGTGTGTTGTTTTATACTTTTCAGTACTGGTTTTAAATATGTTTATACATTGTCATATTGTTTTTGTCAGATCAGATGTCTCGACATCTTATAGGACATCTAAGTTCTGTCATACCAAAATTTCAATAGACTATACCTAAAATTTCACCACGATTAGGTGGTGGCCCTACCAAGGTGACCCTTCTAGATAATCCTCATCTAGGTGATACCTTAATACTGACCCTTGTGGATTGATAATATAAGGTCTCCATAGGTGAAACGAGTTCTAGATAAAGGTTCCCAAAGTCATGGACATTTCCATATTATCAACAAAACAAGGGGTGGGCCCCCACCATGAAGATGAGTCTGAAATTATCTCCTTTCAGTGGAGTCTTCATACCAATCAATGAGGTGGATACCCCCTGATTAATATGACATGACAATCATTCTAAGCATATGTTTTTTCTCCAAGCTTGAGTTAGAGCTTCACAAAGAAAATGATTCCCAACCAATGATAGATATACATAAAAAATACAATAAAACAATAAGCAAGAAAAATAAATAATATAAGCAAGAAATAAAACATGCAAACAAAAACACACAATCCTAAAACTAAAGGGAAGACATGACTCTCTTTAAGGTCTCCCCAGCAGAGTCTCCATCTGTCGCAAATGGAAAAATCTCATAGTCACCACCATATTTTATTCATTCCTATGAAATATGGGAATAATGATAAAATCCTAAAGGAAAAGGATAAGACGTTTATCGCAACCGTATAAGAGTTCGGGAGTCAATTAAGTGAGGGGAAGGTGTTAGGCACCCTACACTTTTGTTGTACTCAACAAAAATCTTCTCTAGCCTAGGATTTAATGTGTTTGTCTAAAGGATGTTTTCATAATTATTTATACTTGTTTTTAGTTATTTACAAAGGAACGGGTATTTACAAAGGGCTAGAATTTAGAAAAGGTTAATGAATTCGCATTGGTTTCACAATTATGCCTATGTATTTCTCATCAAGTGATGAAAAAATCAGAGCCTACGTAGTTCACAAATATTGGATTAATTGACTTTAATTTATGAAAAATATTTCAATTTTGAATTATATGTACGAGAGCAAAAAGTGTTTTGATTATCGAAAAAAAAGTTAATTGTTGCACCGAATAAAAAAAAAATTTAATCAGTGACGTGGATTTTAAAGTAATTTTTCTTGATAACATAAATTTTGTTTTACTTTTCAAAGCTTAAACGATATACATTCAAGAAGTGACACATGGCATGACATGTTATTTATATAAAAAAAAACTAAATAATACTAACAGACAAATTCTTAAGTATCTATGAAAAATAGTTAGATATTGATATCTTTAATGTAAATTAATTAGAAAAATTAATTAATTTTAAAATAAAAGAATTTAAAATATGATACGGCAATAAATAATTTTGTTTGATTGAATGAAGATATTGATATCTAATTAAATGCAAGGGTAGAGAATGTTCATCATAATAATAACACCAACATAAAGAAAAAAATGAATAAGAATACAGAAACATAGGGTTGGGATTGGCGACCTTTAGCCACCATACCTTTCCTTTGCTGACTTTGTGTGTGTCTTTCCCTAACAAATACAGTACTTCTCACTCATCTAAATAATTAATTATATAATTAATGTATGTTATTTATAGCCTAAAGTTACCAAAGGCACCTAAAAGCAAAGACTCAATCCAGTCCCTAGTTAAAGGGATAGCCTTAGATATGGAGAGTAAAAAAGGCATATAGAAAGATTGAGAGGGATTTGTTATTAGAAAAGTCATTTTCTGCAAAATGGGTGGAGAGGTCCATGAAATGTCCATATGGTTAACGTCAGCTCCCAAATATTGAGTAATGGCAGTTACTTGTCACTTTCATATTTATAACTAGGGTTCTGTGTGCTATATTCTAGATATCATAGGAAAATGGAGACCTGATGTTTAGAAACAATGGTTAATAGCTTGAGATGCATTTCATCAATTTGATTTATAACCATACAATCATTTACGGTATATTATCCCTTGCATCTATGCACACATGACCATGAATTAGAAAAAAATTTAAAGAATTAAAAATAAAAAAAAAAGTAATATTTAGAAAGACTACAAACATATTTAACCTTCTCTTTATTCAATGAAGAGTAACATTTTTTCTCTGAGTTATTTTCACTCAAATTATTTTTCCTCTTTATCTTCTCATTCTTTTGATGTGAATTTTCAAGAGAGATAACATGATTTCAGCACAAAAATTACAATAGTGTGACTCTATATAAGGTGCAAATATCCTCTTACATAGTGAAGTCTAACCCACTATATCTGCGGTCAATTTTTCCAAAACTTTCAACCCTTTAGGAGAAGCAATTACCACTGTGCATCTGTGTTACACAAGAACAAAACTAAATGAGATAAACTGTTATATTGTAATTATCATATAAAAATTGAGAGAGAAAACTAACGGGATTTTCGAAATGACACCATGGTCAACAACACCGTCAACTTTATCAAGGATTTTTGCTACTTCAGCTGCAAGTAATATAAAGCCAATTGGATTGACCAACAGAAATACTATACTCCGACTTGGAACTAAAATATACATTATCAAAATTGCAAGTAAAATGTCTCGTTAAGCCAACTCAATTGATAGCTGTTCAACATGTGATTGCAGAGGTGTGGGTTCAAATCCGTGACATTGCGCTTATTCACCTTTAATAGGTGAAATTCCAACCACTAGTCTATTAGACAAAGAAAAAGACTTCGCCGGCATAACTTACCGAGGCTTGGTATTGGAGATGTGAAGATAACATCAAGAACATTATGTCCTTCTCTTGTCACTAATGGAAAGTCACCTCCTAGTGGACCTGCTTGACCAATAGATGCTCTTCTCCACACCTATTTTACAAAGAGAAACAATAAATGTAATCGCAATATGCAAGTTTTGAAAAAATCTCTTGGATCAAAACTAAATCATAAACCTTTACATAGAGTTAGCTTAAATGCGGTCTAACATTTTCTGATTAGTACATGAAGAAAAATTAAAAAAAGAGGAAATGTCTAACAAACCTCAGCATCACCAAGAAACATATCATCAATCTCTTCAGCAATTGCCAACCAGTTAAGCTACAAGGAAAGTTTTGGTATTAAAGACAAAGATACACAAGAAGTAATCAAAAAGCTAATAATCAGCACAGCTGCTTACAGACTGAATTAAAACTGGAATAGAACCTTCCAGACCACCTTTGTACTGGCTTTCTTCGATAATGAAGGCTAGTTTATTGGCAGCATTTAGTATGGACTGAAAACAAAAGGAGAAAAGGCAGGGAAAACAATCATCATTAAAACACGAAAGTTGATCTTCACAAGTAAATTCGGATGAAAAAGATAATAGCAACTAACTTTCTCCTGTATTATGGACTCCTCACTTTGCAGTTTCCGCCGTCCAATGATAGCAACAAATTTTCCTTCTTCTACACCATCAGCGTCATCAAATGCAAAATCAATCTACAACAGAACAATTGCAAATGAATTAAAAAGCACACCTAAATTTATACATCAACATATCCAAACATTAATTTACTTTTTTTCATTTTATACTGAAAACATTTATCTTAGTTATGATTCTGTTTAGGACAATTTTCAGCAAAGATTGCATACAAGGTTTTCTGGCAAGATTCCAAGTGGCCTCTAAAACAAGAAACACTCAACATTAAAGGAAAATCTAGAATATGATTATTTTTATGCACACTTGAGAACTGCCTTGGTAGGTAATCAATGGAATCCCAGCCTTTGCTGCTTCACTCGCACTTGCAACAGACCTGCATAAACCAATGCATCAATGAGATCTGGTTTGGTGGAACTTACATCTTGTTGTATTACTTCCCTAAAATATGCCGACAGTTTTTCATTCGATGCACGAGTAAAAAGTTTTTCAAGGGACGGAAGAAGAGCTCACGTGGGAATCCCTACTATGTCCTTCAAATTACCACGATGAAGCTGGCGACCCAAATGCTGAATGGCCATACCAGAAGCTTGACCAGACCCCAATCCTACAACCATGCCACTTTTCACGTATGTATCCACCTATAAAACAATAGTACATTTCTACAAAACTCATTCATCTCCCAATAAATTGGATGATTGCCAAGCATCAAAAACAGGATTTCATAACGTAAGAAAAACATGATGAATTGAAAGTTGATATACATACAGTGTATTGAGCTGCTGTTAGGAGAGAAGAAGTGTCATCGAGACTGGAGCGAGTGGGCATTATTCTCACAAAATTGGGTGTTCTTCTTTTCCTTCTTCTGCCTAATTGAGGTGTGGGTGAATGCAGAAGAAAACCTGTGGAAAGTGTTGAAGATGAAGAAGCTATGGAAGCCATTGATGCTCAATTCTCACTCTGTAATTTCATCAAATTTAGTGGATAAGGCTTCTTACACACGTCGATAGTTCAATGGAGCTGTTATTTTGGGAATTCTTATTTCAGGTATTTCCAACGTATCATGTGCGAAATTTAAAAAAATGCTCCTGAAAATTAAAAATATATTTTCGATTCACATTAACATATATAATTCAATTGTTTTTTATATTCATTCAATTTTACAATAAAATTAACATCGAAAATAAATTTTCAATAAAAATCAAAAATGTATTTTCGATTCCTAAAACACTACTTTAATAAAGAGATTTTTAAATATAACATAAAATTATCAACAAAAATAAGTGAAATGTAACCAAATTCTCATTCCTTTTTTTATGCGTCAAAATTATTGTACAAAGTAAGAATACCAATAACAAATATCTTAAAAGGATACTATTATTAATAAAAGAATTAAAAATTTAATCCTATCAAAAATTTTCAGGCTTTAAGAAAACACAAACAAATCATACAATCGTGTTCTGTATATATTTAAGAATCAGAAATATACTTCTGATTTATATTGCATTTCTATTTTTATGTAAATATAACTTACTCTTAAAATTCTACTGCTGTTTACATTTTCAAAATTTTAAAATTTACTCTTAAAATTGTGCAAAAAATACAAATTGGTCCTTAATAATTTTCAAAATATTTGTATTTTTTTTCAAAATATAAATATATATACATGTGTTTGAACCACAACATTTACATTTTAATTATTTACAAAACTAGTGTATTATATCTCTCGGATTTTCATTAAAAGTGATAGGTAAGATAGCATGTTTTTTTAACTCGTTACATTGTTTACACAGAATATTAATAAATTAATTTGTTTACAAACTACATTATTTACACAAAAAAATAATTTAAGATTTTGATTTTAGATCTTCAAATCATATAATTTTAGAGAAGATAAGATGTTGGGTGCATGATATTTTCAATTGCTTTTGTATACATTTGTTTCTGAAATGAAAAAAAAAAGGTTAGATAAATAAATGATTTTCTGCATAAATAAATATATAAGAACACAAACCTTAAACACAAATAACTTTCTACTCTTGGAATCCATCATAGAGATCTTTTTATGGCAAACCTTAAAGTGGTGGATGTAGATAGCTTCAAGCGCTTCTTGATGCTTCACAATGATATTCAGAATGCTCTTTTTTATATTCAAAATGCTTTTATAATGGAAGATTTTTATGTTTCACGCGGATCACTAATGATAGTGTCTTGAGCATTGATAGTCATGAAATAGACGACAAAGATTTGTTTATGGACGATGATGAATATCCTTAATAATGATGCCAAAATTATTCCCCCAGTTTAAAAATAAAAAAAAACTAATATAAGATATGTTTAACCCATGGTTTTTGAAGAAAATCGAGGTAAATAATCTTTTTTTAAAGGATTAAATTGTTTACACATGATATTAAACAAATCCATATTTGTCATTGTCGTTGTAATTCTAGATTTTATTACATATCTTGTATGCATCCAACTTCTAATATTTTCAAAGGTTGAACAATCTTCTTTGTTTAACTTGAACCGATAATATTTTCTACACTTGCAATACATCATAGAAAACTTTTCCATCCTTCTTTAACTGAGCATTATTCTAAGAATACAACAACAACAATATCAATATCATTATCTGAGATAGATTGTAAGGGCAAAAAAATATTTTGTTCAAGAATAGAAGAACATTGAAGATTTTTTGTGTCTTACAATCCATCCTAAAGAATGAAGCTTACGAGTTTGGGGGGTAACTATAAGTTAGGATTAGAGTAAAATTTGTTTAACGAGTGCTTTTATAGTAAAATTTAATTATTTTATCCCTCAGTTATTACGGAAATAGAAGGGATAGATCATTTAGTTTACACTTATAAAAAAATAAAAACACAAATTGCAATAATTGAGATTCAAAGCGTGTCCTGAATTGTTTTTACCCTTAACTCAGTTAGCAATTGCCAACTGAGCTACCCCACCCAAGTTTGTGGTTGACACTACTACAAATAACACATTTCACCTCGAACACGAAATTCATTTAACCTCGATTACAGAAGTGGGGTAACGAAGATCATCATGAAAAGTTTCAACTTTTCCCCTTGGTTAATATAAAATCGATGACTTAAGTTATATGCACATGTGTTCATACCACAATATTTACATTTTAATTATTTTTAAAACTAGTGCATCCTACCTCTCGGTTTTTCATTAAAACTGAGGGGTAAGATATAATGTTTTTTTAACTCGTTACATTGTTTACACAAAATATTAATAAATTAATTTATTTACAAACTAGATTATTTACCTAGAATATTACATTATTTACACACAAAAAATAATTTAAGATTTAGATTTTAGATCTTCAAATCATATGATTTTGGAGAAAATAAGATGTTGGGTGCATGATATTTTCAATTGCTTTTGTATACATTTGATTAGATAAATAAAACAAAACAAAAAAGGTTTAAATATATAAATGATTTTCTGCATAAATAAATATATAATAACACAAATCTTAAACACAAATAACTTTCTACTCTTATAATTCATCGTAGAGATCTTTTCATGGAAAATCTTAAAGTGGTGGATGTAGATAGTTTCAAGCGCTTCTTGATGCTTTGCAATGGTATTCAGAATGCTCTTTTTTATTTTCAAGATGCTTTTATAATCGAAGATTTTTATGTTTCACGCGGATCACTAATGATAATATCTTGAGCATTGATAGTCATGAAATGGACGACAAAGATTTGTTTATGAACGATGGTAAATATCCTCAATAATCACGCCAAAATTATTCCCCCAATTTTATAAAAAAATCCAATATAAGATATGTTTAACCCTCGGTTTTAGAAGAAAATCAAGGTAAATAATCTTTTTTTAAAGCATTAAATTGTTTACACATAATATTAAACAAATTCATATTTGTCATCGTCGTTGTAACTCTAGATTTTATATCATATCTTGTATGCATCCAACTTCTAATATTTTCAAAGGTTGAACAATTTTTTTTGTTTAACTTGAATCAATAATATTTTCTACACTTGCAATATATGATAGAAAACTTTTCACACCTTTTTTAACTGAGCATTATAGAACAACAACAATATCAACACCATTATGTGAGATAGATTGTAAGGGCAAGAAAATGTTTTGTTCAAGAATAGAAGAACATTGAAGATTTTTTGTGTCTTACAATCCATCCAAAAGAATGATGCTTACGAGTTTGGGGGGGTACATATAAGTTAGAATTAGAATAAAATATGTTTAACGGGTGCTTTTATAGTAAAATCTGATTATTTTATCACTTGGTTATTACAGAAATAGAAGAGATAAATCATTTAGTTTACACTTATAAAAAAATAAATATATAAACTGCAATAATTGGGATTCAAAGCGTGTCCTGAATTATTTTTCCCCTCAGTTATATTAAAAATCGAGGGAATATGTTGTTTTTATTTTTTTAAAATGAAATATGATGCGCCTTGGCATTATACCTCTTTTTTTTATGAGGTGAAAGTTTCGTCATGAAATTTATTATTTGTAGTAGTGTGAAAACATGGAATATCTCAAGATGAACAAGATATTTTGGAGCGCAGCTCTAAAAAAGTCAAAGGCGATTATCAAAATTTCAAGCAAGGCTCGAGCAAGCATTCAACATAAGAGGATGCAGTTGCAATGAAGAAGAATATCAAGAAGTTCCTGCACCTAAAAAGTCATATAAGGATTCCATGATGGGGAATTCTAATGGAGACAAGCAAAATAATTGTACCATGACTGTTATTTTGACTGATGAAGAAATATAGAATCTCTCAAGTCATGATGAGGAAAAGTGTTTGTTGGTATAAGAAAGGATCACGGGGAAATAGAATTGTCCAACTATCATATTTTCGGGCAAAGAAGATGAAATAATTATCAAACCATGGAAATCAGGAGTTATTGTTAAACTTGTTGGTAGGATTATAGTTAAACTTATTTGCAAGATTCAGAAATATTAAATCAACTCATTGATGAACAAGAAGATTTTAAATGGTGTTTTTCATCATAAAAAATGGGGGACATTATGAATAAGAGCTTCTCATTGACCTTGGTTATGGTTTTGATGAAGACAAATACATAAACAAAAGAAGAAAAAGATAAAGACAACAATGACAACAAAGAAAGCAAATGATGAAGACCACGTTTGATCAAAGGCAATTGACAAAGATCTTAAAATTTTGATTAAATGCCTTGATCTTTAAAAAACCATGATTCATCTCTTATATCACATAAAATCTCATAAAATATCACCCGAACTTTAATTTAAAAGTTATTAAATATCACGTATAAAACCATCGAAGAAAAGTCATCAAAAGTTGTCTTTAAAGGTGTATATAAGGCATCAAAACATGAAAGAATGTGATTTTTCATCAATAAAAGGCACTATTTTTGATGACAAAACTTCATGGAACCTTTCTATACTTATATATCCACTCGTAGAGGTTTCTAAAGGTGTATATAAGGCATAACACATTAGAAAACGAAATAAAAAACTTTTACATTCTCATTTAGACAACTTAAAGATCGTTTTCAAATATCATTCTTTTCAAAATGGTTTGAAACCTTGTAAACTTTCAAAAAAACAGAAAAGTTTCAAAACCAAAATAGATTATGAGCATTAAGTGATATACATTTGAATTGTAATATTAATAAGAATCAGCAGTCAAATCCTAAATGTGATTATTGTATAGCCAACATAAGATCTTCATTTCTCAACAAAATTAGTGTGACTTAGTTCACCATAGTGTTTGGTGAAGATCATCATAATATTTGGTGATTATGAAAAAGGTTCTTTCAATTATTTGAAGGTGACCAAATACAAGAAGTGGGAGTTGAATTGTGTTAAATTGTTCACTCTTTTTATTTATCTTCGGAAATCTTATATCAAATTCTGAACATTAGGTACACAATCAAATTCA